GAGCAGGCAGAGAAACACCTGTGAAGATTTGTGTCTTCCAACTTCATCATGTTGAAGCGTTCCCTTCCATCTATTCGGTGTCAGAGACACCCTGTTGCTGACATTTTTCCATGTTATCATTTATCTCTCCGACTGTTTTGTACTCCGAAGAGCTTCCTTCCTGTTCGCTAATAAAGATCTCATTTTCTGTGCTCTGAATTTAATTTCCAGCTTTCTGAGCAACAGCTACAATTACAGATTTACTTGTTTTACTTGGACAATAGTCACTATTCCATTGAACACACCAAATGTCTGTTTGTGCCTGCTTGTCTTTGTCTGCTGTGATAACAAACCAACGATTTCCTTTCGTTTTGGTCTGTGGGTTGTACAAAAAGAGCTATTTACAGACAGCACTGTGGGAGAAAAAGACTGGTAGTGAAAAATTATTGGCAGTCGCATTTATCTACACAAAGCAATTAACTGCAGACAGGCAAACTCCAAAAAACAGAAAAGCTTCATCTGACAAAAGGAGATGATGAGACTGAGGACATCGTGTGCTGGACTGAGGACGATGAGATTTACCTCCACAGAGTGGGGAGCAGTCCCACGTAGCCGCTCTGCTGTTTTGTGTCTTTGAAAGATAAAAGTTTCACATTTTTGAACAGTGGAGCTGCTGCTCTCCTAAATGAAACCTGGAAACCACATCAATTATTTCTGCAGCCTCACAGGTTTTGTTGCCACTCGAAGAGTTGCCATCAGAGCGTAATCAAAACTCATTCCCATCGATTAATACACGATTAGAGGAAGTTGTTCACCAACTGGCTTTACCAGCTGATGGTGACCCACCCTCCTCCCCAGATCCAAACCAAAAAGCTAAAACGTGATTTTTCCTGTCAAACATCGTCACACAAATTTAAATGTGGTTTACTGTTTTTGTGAAAATCATCAGATGTTAGCCCAGAACAAGGAGGACACATCCAGGGCCTCGTATTAGCATACCTGCTAATTACTAGCTGCAAACATGACAGTTAGCTTAATAACCATAACTTTGCTTTGTTTTTACTAAAATGATCAAAACCAGTATCTATTTGATGTCTTTCTTTTTTGTCCTAATAAGAAATTTGAGTTGGGCTGATGATTTGATTATTGATTACCAATATGTAATAACTGCACTCTTTTGGCTAATGTTAGCAAGCACTGCTACTGCTAATGCTGGACAGACAGGTTTCCTCTGTAGGAACAACAGAAATGTTTTAAACTGAGGAAATGATGACCTGTGACTCCTGCAAACGCCGCCCTTCAGTGTTTGTGTGCAGCTGAGCTTTTCCTCACTCTGCAGCAGTGAAGTCACGAGGTCGAGGCATTAGAGACTCTTAGATATTCTGCTGAAAAATAAAACACTCATTTAGTTCGTCTTATATTTCCTCACACTGATCATATTTTTAAAAAGAACATCCATTTCTACTTCTCCCTGGAATTTTATTAAACAGTCTGTTATAATTGAGCTCACATTTCAGTGTTTTAATGTCTGCCGGACATCAGCAATAAGATTGAACAGAGCGAGCTTGTTGCTGTGAGACTCTCGAGACAAGAAGAACAGTCTGACGTCATGTTTCGGGACGGGTGGAGTTAAAACATCTGTTACAAACATCAGCAGAAGGCGAGCAGCTGCAGACATGATGGGATCTCACCTCAAACCGAATGAAACAGAGCGAGGAAGACAAGAGGAGGACAAACATCCTCTTAGTTCAGGGGCCCCAGAGGAGGCCCAGCAGGGTAAAAGAAGTGCAGCACTGCCATCTAGTGATGGATATATGACCTGCAAGTCAGTGTAGATGAGTGCTAACCCTAACCCAAATATGGTCAGAAGGACATACTCTGACATCTAAAGCTGCACTTTTAATGATTCCAAACTAAAAATATTTAGATTCAAATTAGAAAGTGAAGTTCCCACACATCCTGTATCAATTAATGATTCACAAATAAGCTCAAATATTTGTGTTGTATTATAACTCTTATTGGAACATTGACCCTCTGACTTTCACAGGTTACATCAGGAAGAGCAGGAAGTGCGTGAAGTACACGTCTATCTTCATAAAGTTTCAGAAAGGATTCATAAACACACGACAAACTCCTGAATTTGAAAAAAAATAAGGTAATTGTGTAATTCAGAAACAGATGAGTGATGGACAAAGTCTCAGGAATGGTTTCAGCACCTTGTTGAATATCAAAAACTTTCAGCCCACTTTAACCAACATTAAGACTTCCTGAAGTCAGCTGCTTCACGACAGGTCAACATACACACACACACACACACACACAGAGTTGTTCTTATTGCCTCTGAGTTTTTATTTCCTACAGGGATGTACAGCAAAAGGACTAACACTGTCAGTGCTAATATCCAAAAAGGTCCTGAAAATCAACTCTAGCACACTTTTTTAACAGGTATTAAAAACACACACGCCTCCGGTCTCAGCGTGCCCCGTCTCAGACTCCAAACAGCTTCCAAAACAACACATCAATAAAAAAAACAAAACAACCAAAGACATTACCATACTGCATGAAATGGCACAGAAGAAAAGCAGAAGGGCAGTAGACATGGGTTAGAGAACGTCTCAAAGTCATCTTCAGGGATTTAAGCTGCTCCAGACATCAGGAAGGTTTCCACACAAATCCTGAATCTTGTTCAGAATGAGAATATACTACTGCGCTGGCTTCATTTCCAAAACATCTATGCACTGTGTTCAAGAGATATCAACTGAAGGTGAACCAGGACTGTGCTGCACTTTTGTGTAATACCACTTTGTACCACAAGAGAGTGCAGTGAGTTAGCGTAACCTTTTATTTATTTGTTTATTTAAAGCAGCAGGCAGTGATGTAAAATTTTGGAGCTTTAGCTCAGCACATGGAGGAAGTGTTTATGACTGAGGAGCGTAAGTCATATTATGTTTGAGTCTGTCTGGACTGACTTGCGGGCTTTGCTCCATTCATTCGCTAATCAAACAAGGTCAGGTCGGGTGTGTATAATTATTATATTATTATAATTATCTGTACTCTCAATAAGAAGGTGACATAATCTGTGCTTGTTGAGCCAAATTAATCAGCTGTTTAATTTGGCCCTCCTGTGATTGCCCCTGAGGTCCTGTAACACCCAACTGCCTGAAATCAATTTTAATATTACGGCTAAAATTAATTAAAAGTAAGGATTCAATCCAATAATGCATTTACAATCTAGTGCTTTTTACCTAGCCTTAGCTAACATTAGTCATTAAGAGCTGGCTGTGAGTCATTTTTGAACCCTAAAAAGTCTCATTTATATCCGATTTTGGGCTGACTGTGGTCACATTAACATTTGGCCTGACAAGTACAACTAAATTAAACAGACTTTATTTTTACTAATAGCAATATTAGGATACCTACTAACTTACTGGCCACCGAACTGTTAGCTGAAGAACCTTTTTTTTTTCTTACTTTGCTACTAAAATGGTCAAATTCAGTATGTATTTTTTGTCTTTCTTTTTTGTTCTAATTTCAAATTACAGTTGTGCTGGGAGCCGATGATTTGATTACCGATTACCAATATTAAATAAGTCTACTTATTTGGCTAAGGTTAGCAAGCACTGCTATCGTTGATGCTGAAAAAAAAAGGAATCCATCAAATAATGTATGCTAAGCTATCTAGCATTTGCACTCAAATGTCGTTTAGCTAATAGTAGCATTAGCAAGCAAGCTATAACTTAGATATGCTACACAAACCATTACCACAGTTAGATAGAAATGTTAGCTAAATAAAAATTTAAAGGTAGGCCAGGTATTTCTTATTTCTTAGGCTTCTCTGTCCTCAATGTTTATTTGAACTATCAACTGAAAATAGTGTTCTTCTAACGTCATTAGCCTGCAGCAGGGAATTATTAGCAGGCAAGCTAGAGCTCCAAACCATTATGTTATCTCTAGTTTTGGCTCAACTTCAGTCACATTAATGTTTCGCTAGAATTTTTTTTTTGTTAAAGTAGCAGTAACAGTTAGTTAGCTACTTCCTTGCTAACTTTTTATACTAAAATCCTATCTTAAGTCACCATCAGTGTTTATTTTTTCCATCCTGAAGTGAAACTTTGTTGTGCAATTTGATTATTGATTGAAAATACACGACTCCTTGACTCTTCAGCTAATGTTAGCTAGCACTGCTCACTGTTGATACTGTTTTTTTTACAAAAATGAATTAAAGCATCCATCCCGACTTCTCTTACACCTAAAAACGTCTCATTTTTAAGATTTTGGGAGAATATTCTAGAGAATGAAAATCATACAAATTCACACCTTAAAGCCAAACGCTCCTAAAAAACCTGGAAAAATAGCAACAGTAAATTTCTCTAGATTAGCTGCAAAAACTGCTCGTTTTTTTTGCTGTGTAAATATAGAAGTGAGATAAAAATACAAAGCTTTATGGAATCAGAGGGGACGGCTGATAGTCGAGCTGTAGATCTTCAACAAGGTCACGAAAGAAGAAAAGTGCACTGAAAAAAGCAATCAGATTCACAAGCCATTTAATCTTGAATTCATTCAGTAAAATCATACAAAAGGTGTGGAAAAAGGTCAAAAAGGAGCCACAGTTTGACTTTGAGAACAGATTGCAGCTGAGAAACACCAGAATAAATAAAATATTTCACCTTGTTTCTGTAAAGTGAGCTCTAAATACAAGATTAACTGACTTGCAGAGGTGAATATTTTCAGGAAGGAAGGGAAGAAGGAGGGTGGTGAAAACGAGGTAAGAAGAGAACAGAGTGAAGCTATACATGGCAGCTGTATTGATTGGCTGTATTAGTTTTATAGGGTGTTATTGAAGTACTACAGACTAAGCGTGTCGGCCACACGCCAGGCTTCATTGTCTCTAAAATGCAGCAGTGCGCTACGTGTAATTATCATGTACACAAACAAAAAAAAATCCCCCCACTCCCAGCTAATACATCTGCATAGCAAAAAAAAAAAGAAAGAAAGAAAGAAAACAGCAAATAAATAAAATAAACACAGAAAAGAAAATCATTCCAAACCGTCAACAACCCTGTCTTTTTTCTGTGGCTACTGATTCTAAAAGATAATACAGAAGTAGTTTTGATGCAAGACTTGTTATTATTACTTTTTTTGTTTGTTTCTTTTTATTTTTTAGAAAAAAATTCTGTTTCTTCATGAAGCACACTTCCTACTTCCTCTTGGTCCGGTGGCGGTGGTGTGGGTGTCATATAGGCCGGTTAGTCATCTTCATCGTCAACCACGGGGTCCGTGTCCCAGCACGTGATGTCAATCTCTGAGTAAACACACACACACACGGATGTTTACACACACATCAAACTTGTGTTTAGCAAAACTAGGAGGCTTATTTTAGCCTGATATGAGTTTTTGTTGCTTTAAGCAAAAACAAATGTTAGTGATTCTCCTGCCAAACCGACCAATTAGAAAAGGAGCTCAATTCACTGACCAATCGAGCCCAAAAAGGCTGTGAAGTCTCAGGATATCCATCCTGTCAAGACTCAAAGAGTCACTCAGACTTTGAGACTGGTTGGCAACCTCGTGTTTCGAGGGAAAAATGTGTTTTCCAAACTAGCTGAGTCTCAGTAGAAAACAAATCCCTTTATGGTTGTTTTCACTAAGGGTGTTAAAAATCTACCAAATCTAACATGCTGAGGCAATAAGGACGTGTCCAAAAGCAGCTTTATTTCAGCTGATCGTCTCACCTGGTGGCTTGTTATAAAAGACCGGTGCGGGTTTAGCCGAGGACTCCTCTGTTGTCCCGAATTCCTCCTCCTGTGATTGGCTGAAGTAGCCCTCGCTCGCCTGAAACACCAACAGAGAGATAGAAGATGAGCGAAACGACGACCAATCAACCGAGAATCTGATCTTTTGTTTCTGGAGAGCATCAAGAGCATCACCTGGCTCACCTGAGTGCCTTCTTTCAGCAGAGCCTCCCCATTGGTCATCAGCAGCTGTCCGTCATCCAGCTCCTGGCCCTCCCCAGATGCATGCTGCAGTGCATGCTGGTAGCTGAGGGTCATCTGATCAGAGCCCGTCACGTCCACCAAACTGGACGGGTCGTCTTCGGCGCCAGTACCCGAGCAGAAAGTCCCGTCCATCATGTCGTCAAAGCTGAGGAGCGGCTGAGGCCGGCCGCTGGCGGCAGCGGTGCTGGGCGGGAGGTTGTCATGGAGGACATCTCCCATTAGGTCCACCAGATTGGAGGACTGGGAGGACTGGGCGGGCTGGACGATGTTGGCTGGAGGGGCGGAGCTGCCGCCCCACAGATCAACCAGGCTGTCTGTGCCAGACTCGCACGCAGAGACAGCGGAGGAGTCGCGGGCCTGCGGGGCGACGCTCTGCACGGGCTTGGTGGGCGTCGACTCCTGGACCGGGGGTTTCTGCTCCTGCTTTGGCACCAAATCTGAAGGAAACAAGAACAATTTCATTTTAAAAACTGAGTCACTTTTAATGATAATCAGTTTCTTTCTAATTACCAAAAAACAGATTCTTAGTGGATTTCTGTTTTGGAAAAAGACCCAATGGAGCACCGTGGAGGAGGCTAACAAAAATAAACTAAAACCAGTGTTCGTCAGGTTCTGGGGACTCTTAGATTTTATAAATGGTCAGAATAGTTATTTATATTTATTTATATTGAACCCGAAATATTTCCGACCTCTAATCCGTGGATATATTTCCCTTTTTTAAAGGGTGAAAATGTCAACATTTGGAGTTTGGAGGGATGAAATTTAAATTTTGTTATTTTGTGGAAATCTGGCAACGCCATGGTCTGTCGTCTGATTGGTCGACAGAAGTCTTACCCCACTCGTCTGCGTGGTCTTCCTTCTCATCCCTGCTGTAGTCATCTTTGATGGGCGTGGTGACTATTTTAGGAATGGGTGACACGGCGGCCATGTTGCGCTCTGTGCTCACTTCATCGTCATTGTCCGCTGAAGGGTCAAAAAGAAAGATTATTGAAGGAAAACTTTGGCAGCCGTCACCAAAAATCCTCCAGACTTTTACCCACGAGCAGGTGTGTCGAACTAACACAGAATCTGATGGTTTTATCTGAAGTTCACACTTTGTATAAGGCTTAGTTCAGCTAAATGAGGGTAACAGGTGATTGTGACCAGGTGAACTCCACAGTCACATCCTGTGTTACTTCAACACGTTAAACATTGCACAAGATCGCAGCAGCCACATGAATTTTGTTGTCACATGACCAACAAACAGGCAGATTCAGTCACTTCGCCCGGTTTCAGACCCATCGTCTGTTCTGTCAACAAACTGACATCATCAGCTGAGCCAATCAGATTTGAACCTGTTGTCGGGTAAACAGTAAGCTTCTCCAAAACTTTGTTTTCAGTCAGCTCCCTCACTGTGTTATGTTTAATGTACAGGCAGCATCACGCACTCAGTTGTGAATGCCATTATTTCAGTGAGACGTCCACAGAGATAGCTCAGTGTGTCTGAAAGTTTTAACGAAAAGTGAATAGACAGTGAGTGGAAAACACTGACGGAGTGGTCTTTTTACCTTGAGGCCGAGTGCTTCCTCTTTGTGGTGTTTAATATCTTATAATGCGGCTGTTTAATGCCAGAAGTGTGAGACAGAAGCAGTTGGGGTGCAGCAATGAGGCACTTACAAACTCAGGCAACAAAGTGACCAAATGCTGCTTCTCTGGACAGCTGAAGCAAATGAGGAGTGAGGACCTCTGTCAGAAACCAAGACACAGTCACAATGATCCAATGGGTCATGAAACAGGAGCAGGTATCTAACAAAAACTCACTGATATGTCATTACAACATACCAACACATTGTGGGTGAGTCACAGCTACGTCAGGTACACACATCCAACAACAAACACCATCACAGTGTCAGTTAGAATCACGAGAATCACTTCCACAATGCCATTTCTCCAGATGTTTGATGATGTTGAGCTTCATGTTGTGTTCAAATACCAGAACAAGACTTCCCACAAGCACAACAACGAGGAACGAGAATTAGAGAGGTAATAAATGACTGAGTCCTAAATGGGTGGGTTCTCAATTCACCTGGAGGTAGAAAACCTGATGAACAACCCCTGATGACGATATTATCAGCTGTATTTTTATTCCTATGTTCAGCACTTCGGTCAGCGGTTACCTTTTTTCAAGCGCTTATAAATAAAGTTGCCTTGGCTAGTAACTATTTGCTGTTTTACTGGTATCAGGTATTTATAACGACCAATAAACAAAAAGACACATGGAAAGAATTCAACCATACTGCACAGTTTATTCACCAGAGGGCACTCTGCAAATTCTCTGCTGGCAAAACACTTTTGAAACGCCACAAACAAGAACCATCAGTCGGGCAGAATATAAAAACTACACGTAACAAAAGTTAGACAAATCTGTTCATGTTTTGTGTCTGAATGAAAAAATAAATCTGTACCTACAGTATAATATTAAACCAAATAACTGCCATCAGTGTTGTATTTAAAAATCCTGTCCTTCTTTTTGATTTTCATCTAGCAACAGCCAGCAACTACTTGCTAACCTGTCAGGTAAAACACACTTTTCCATAGCAACCAGTGGTTGTTGACCAGTTTCTTGCCCTGTGAGACTGAGATCTTAGTCAAAAGTTAGCAGGTCAGCTGGCTAGCTGATATGTAAACATGATAGATACAGCATGGAGATGAAAACCTAAATACCAACAAACTGTGTTAGTGTTAGCAAAGTTAGGCTGCACAGTTTTTAAACCAAATGACCAATTATGCTGTGTGTAAATGACCGATGATGTGTCTTCAGCAAATAGCCAGTGTTAGCTCGCTAACTAGCTAACAGCTAGCTAGGTTGTTTTTTTAGACATTGCTGCCTAATTTTTTATCTTGTATGAAAAATTAAGTATTTTCCTGAAGTCACAGCCAATGACAAAATGCTGTAGCTAGCTCTACAGTCACTGCTAAACACTATAAATGTAATTTCCACTCAGTGCAGATACATCTAAAACACGCCTATCCTGCTGACATTTGTGTAATATACACTTCACCTCGTCTCCGTGGTGTGCACAGCGTACACGATTATGGCGAGGCTAATATAAATACATTGGCACAGTTAGGATGGAGAATGAGGGTTAAATAAAATAAAAGTTCATGTGGAGGCTCTCCGATGGGCGCCATCCTGTGACAGGAAGAAGACGCCAAAAACAGAACAAACTTCAGCCAAGAGATGATCTGTCAACACCACAAGATCATTAACACAATGCTGCGTGATTTGGATTACTCATTGGGATGTTAATGCCCACACTGAGCTGAACGACGTGCTGCACATGATGCTAATAAAAATTCTCAGAGGCAGAGAATGACGACCGAATAAAAAATCTGCCTGTTAAAAAACGAACACGGCATTCAAGCGTAAAGACGAGAACTCCAGCTTAGACCTGCAAACTGCATCATCAGAGGTTTGATGTGTCATCGCTTTACAGGCGGGAGGTAAACAGTGTTTTACTTTCACTGAGCATAATAACGTACACATGCAACTACACACACACAGTGAAGATCATGAAGGTGGTCTGCATGATTTTATTTCTAATATCAACTAAACAGGTGAATCGACTTTATCTTTCATGTGTTCTTGTAGGCCTGGTACTCTGAGGGTCCATTATTGAAATATCTGAGTTTTATTTGTGATGTACTGATGATGACACTGGTAAAGCCAACCAGCAGCAAAGGGATTTGCTGCTTTTAAGGAGGACCTCCAATGATTTTCCTTATTTCCTGTTCCTGTGGTGGACGCTCATATTAGAGTTTCCAAAGCTGTGCTGAAATAGCCTCGCGCCCTCTGCAAAATCAAAGGTTTCTGGACTAAACTTAAGATGTTAAAAGGCTCTCTGGAAGTCTGGCTCTGCCATATAAAAACCACCGTTATGGTCTTTAACCTGAATGACATCAAAGTTCAACATTCAAGCATTCACAGGCCGACTGATGGCAATGGCGACCGAGTGACGGCTCGACGGTGTCACACACACATACGCACTCAAACACTCACAGTCGGTCAGTCGGGATTAAAGATGGCAGCAGGAGTGTGTTTATGAGTGTGTTTGTGTGCAGTCCAGGATCAGAGGCAGAGGAGGAAGGTGGAAGGAGAGAACCTGTCAGATCCCTGAGATTCAGCTCTCGAGAGAAGTGAAATCACTTTTACAAGCGTAAAACATCAGAAGTAGAAAAATTAAATACAGAAACATTTACAGAAAAAAATCAGCAGCCGACTGGACGACATCTAAAGGATGAAGACTGGAGGGGACGACAGACTCGACATCTACCACACAAAGCAACAAACAGCTTTGCTTTGAAACAGGTTTCACTGTTTCCACAAGTTAGTGCAAACCTGCTGTGTGAGAGTCAGCCTGCAGGGGGGGTTAAAGTGCACGAGGCGAAGAGGAAGGTGGGAGGGCGGCCTCGTCATCCTACAGCTAACGCCGCCAGCATGCACGATACAGTGAACGCAAACCAAACTCCAGCTTCTGTCGCTTTTCATGATGCTTGGATGCTCTTGTCTCCGTTATCGCCTTAATCAGCCGATAGTAAAAGGTAAAAACGAAGGAACTGGGGAATTTTTAGACGCTCTCGTTCAGTACCAGGAAGTGGAAGGAGGAAAGAGTTCGGGGGGTGTTTAAAGTGGGAGGTGATGGGGAAGTTTAATGGGTTGGTGCTGAAGATGAGAGGATGAAAATGCATGTTGGCTGAAATAACTATGAATTTTTAGTGTCTTGATGCATCTCAATCATCCAGGAAAGTAAATCTCCAAAAGCTGAATCTGTTCATCTGGACGTAGCGTTTTGTGGGAGAACGCTACGTCAACAAATTAAACTTTTGGAGATATGAATCTTTAGTGTTTTTAATCTGTGCAGAACTTTCCTGACGTCACAGAGTTTAAACTTTTTATTATTATCACAGAAAACAAAAAAACGAAGATGCTAAAGTCCTGCATTACAGTTACCACTAATACTTCCTCTTTGTTTATTCTTTCAAATTAAAAGGAAGCGAGTGGCTTCACTGCTTTACTGTTAATTTCAGAATTAATGGTTTTTAAAGCCCTCCGTGGAAAACCTCCTACGTTAACGCTCTTATTCACCTTTGCATGATTGATCTCGAGATCCAAGATCTTGGGATCAACTCTCAGGCCTTTATATTGTAAAGACCTTACAATAACACAGAAAACCTCAATAATTAGACGAACCTTATGAGCAAGCAGTTGGAGACAGCAGGAAGGAAAAACTCCCTTTTAACAGGATGTAACCTCAGGCAGAACCAGGCAGCCACGTTCCAAATATTCCTGCTTTTTAATCCAGGTTAGAAATGTTGCTCTATTCTCCGGCATTCCTGGGTTCATAATCTGTGACTGGGGGCTATTATTTTATTTTGTATTTATATATTAATGTATTTTATATTATATTTGTAATTTTATAGTATTTGAATAACTCTTTATTATCTTGTACATCATTCTGACAGCTTTCTTCTGTTTAAATGTGCTTAATAAATTAATGAATCCATTTTAAATGTCCTTATAAATGTTACAGTATGAGGCTCCAGCTCCTGTACAATGACAGGAAAACTGATCCTGAAGAGTTTAATTTTCAGTTTACCCTGAAAGCAACATAATCCTGCAGACAGGAAGTGGATTGTTTGCGGTTGTGAGTTTTACCAGTCAAGCTGGAGTACCGGTGTAACCACGCGCAGTTTCATCCTCTCATGTTGGCTTTGCTGCAGTGTTTCTGTGTGTTTGTGGAGGGGACTCTTGTGTCGGGAGAGATGCTCGACCAGGCTGCTGGTTTCCTCTTTAACTTCTTCTTCTGCTGTACCTACCGGCTGCAGCGGTGGGCTGCGTCCGTGCATGTGGCGGGGTGCGGAGGGGCGACATGCCCCGGTGCGGGGGGGTCGGACTGGGGCTGCTGGGACTGTGCTGCTGCCTCAAGAACGGGCTGTCCAAACGGCCTGGCGGTCGGGACGACACAAAAGCGAAGACGGGAACACACAACAAACGAGAAAGAAAAAAAAACAGCGACGCACCACAACAGAGACGTGAGGAAGACAGAAAAACAGAGGGAGGAGAGGATTGTGGGAAGAAGATGAAAGAGACGGGTGTCAAAAAAATCCACCAAATTTCACAGAGTGGAGAAATGAAAGAAAAAGGAGAGGAGGAATGAAGTAAGGAGGTGAGGAGGAGGAGGAGGCAGAAAATGGAGAGAAAGAAGAGAAAGGTTAGTGTGGTTTAAACACACCGCCTGCAGACAGCATGCTGTTAGGCAGAAAGGAAAAGCTGATGGCGACCTTCTCTGAACCAGAAAGTGTCGGAATAATTCAAACCAGAAAACAGAAAACACTCTTTGGGATCTGTGGACGAGTCTTTGATTGTTATCAATAACACATCGTGTTGAAATCCTGCAGTCGTTTACAGCCCGTGCACGCTTCAGTCACGCTCCTGTACTTTAATGTGTCGGGGCCTCGGTGCGGGGCTGCGTTGGCAGTCTTAAGTTGTAACCAATCATCGTCCCAGCCCAAACTGCAGCTCCTCTAGTGGCCACTAGATGCCATAAGTGAGCACCCGCAGACTCCCAGCTGGCTACACGAGCTAACGTCACTGTGAAAATGAGACAGACTTACAAAAAAGGTCTCAAATTAAACGTTTGCTATTCAGGTTTGTCTGTGCTTGTTCTAACAGATGCCGCGCCAAACCCTGCAGACAAACAACATAAAATGATGCAAGCACGCAAAGGGTCAAAGGTCACGCAGAAGGGCTGTGGTTTGCTGTGATTTCAGCAAAGAAACCTGATTAAAACCTTTCTAGAATAAAACAGTCCAGTTTAACAGCCGGATGGACGACACACAGCAGCAAACTGACAGTGAAGCGTCACTTACATGAAAACTGAGCTTCTTTTTCAAAGGTTCATTTCTATCATTTATCTGAATGAAAAGAAAACCTTTGGAAACTCTGAGAAAACGGCACAAACGGGAAAGCTGGAAAGCACATTTGTATATTTGGCAGGAAAAGCTGTGCTGATTTGAGGAGCTGACGTAATTATCTGGGGATGGAAAGATGAACTTACTACTATTGTTGCTGTAATTAAAATATGTTTATCTGCAACTACATACATAAACAAATGTTAAATATTACAATATTATTACAGCTTGAACTTTGTGGATCATGTGGTTAATTTATATTTTGTTCATGTATCCACCTCTGCACGCTCTACCGCTGTTGAAGAAGCAGCAGTGCTGCAGAAAACATCATTTTATAAAACATTTTAAATATGAATAAAGATTATAAACAAAACCAAATGATTGGTCCTGTAGAGGCTGTGGGGAGGCGTACCTCTGAAACATATACAATCAGACATGCTGGGGCTCCACAGCTGGCTCAAGCCGGTTAACAGAAGTAATCCACCAATCAGAGAACGAGGTGAATCAAATCCACCAGTAAGAATGCTCCAAACCTTATGAGCTGATCTCACTGACATTAACTGCCCCCATCACTACCTGATCTGTACCGGAACGCCATCGGTACCCCGCATGCGCGAAAGGTTTCTACTTAAAGTCGTAGCGTTTTACGATAGTTACGGGTCAGAGTATCTGTTAAGATGTTAAGAATAACAAGTATCTCTTAAAATGTTTCCAATAATGAAACATTTCAATATAATGTAGACAAAAACGAAAGAAAAAAAAAGAGAGTTACGGATCAGGACTCCCCGATCCGTACCGCGCATGTGCAGGGGTTTTCTTCTTCTGTTCGTTTAATGGCAGTTTACTCCCCAGTGTACAACTATTTAGTGATAGTCGAGTGTGTTTATGCTTGTCTGTGTGGAGAGGATTGATTGGAATAGTGATGATGATGTGCGCTATCACTGTCAATTGTCAGTAAACACATCATCTGGCTGATGAATCTCCACGTGACATATTACAAAGTCTGTATTATTAACTCTGTAATTAGGCGCCATTCTTCTTATTTTACGGCGCTGTTGTTCAATCGGGGAACGCTCTGTGTTGAGGAGTAAAGCATGAATTTGTTTGTATACGGAGGTATCCATAGTTTAAATGTCCCGGTGGTTGAAAAGGAGGCAGAGCTGTTGAGAAATGCTAGGAGCTAACTGGGCGCTAACCCTATCATTCAAATATATTGAACGTCGCAATGCTGGCAAAGAGAGGAAGTGACGTAAGATTTGCGCATGCGGGGTACGGATCGGGTAGCGACAGCCCACACCTGTTTCAGTGAAGCAGCACCTAACGTTGCCATGGTGATGGAATTCTGTAGCTAACTGTGGCCGCTCTAAAACCCAGAGCCGTTGGATGGAAGAGTTGCGTCATCTCCATTCACTGTAATGGACCATCTTTGTACAGCAATGGTGGATCATGGAGCAGTAATATTGTAAGTTAGCAACATAGGCTAGCTGTGGCATAGAGGTATAGCAGCATGGAAGTTTGAGATGAATTTTTCAAAGGTAAGAAGTTAAACACCAGTCTGTATGTTATCAGCACGCAGTCCAACTGTCCACAGGAACTGTTTGAAGACTGCACGACCCACATAACCACCCCGAATTCTGAACCCCTGCTGACAGGACTCTCACTTACTCAACAGCTCTGCTAAAATCGAGAGCATAGCTGCTATCGACACAGTTTATGGACCGCGGGCGTCCCAACAAGGTGCTCCACATATGAGTGTGTTTTTGTTTTTTTGCTTCTAAAAGTGACACTGTGACAGGGAAAACTAATAAAGTAAAAAAATGTGCGTTCACCAGCAGGTTAAAGAGAAACATCTGTCTAGCTTCTCCCACTCTGTCAGTTCTGCAAACATCTGATCGATTTGAACAGGCTGCATCTGTGACAAATGATGCTACAGGCCAAACAAGGAAGAGTAATTATCCAGTAACAACATGTGGTGGGAGGCAGTTGCTGGGTGATGTAATCAACAGTTCCTACAGATCGAGGACGATGTTCTGAAAGACTGAAACATCTGAGGCTGTTTCCCATCAAGGACGGTTTGCTTCACCAGTTTCAAAGTCAAATATTAGTAAATCATTTTTTAGAATAAAAAACATTTGCCGTTTCAAAGATACTGTATCATATTTTCCACGAGTCTCTCGAGTGCTTCTCTAGCTCAGCACGAGAACAAAGGTCAGGTGAAGTTTTGAAGTGTTTACCGCTCCGGTGGATGGAGACGGGCGAGGTGTCCACACTGATGGTCATGGCTCTCTCCTTCTGCTTGAAAAACTCTCGAGGGTTTCCTGACCGCTGAGCGATGATGGCCTTCGCCTCCTGGAAACACAAAATAAATACAGAGTGCTGATTTTCTTCCTCTTAAATGTTCTGCGGCCGTTTCTGGAGACGCTCTCTTTCATCATTCTCCAAACTGACCTCTACCTCAGATTCCTTCTTGTCCAGGTTGAGGTCCTCGATGCTCGGCTCTGCTACCTGAGGAGAAGAATCCAGTGATTCATATGTAACACAAAGCAGAGAGAAACTCGTTCACCTGTGAATAAATCAGTCAGATGTCCTGAAACAGCAGACAAATGAGCTGCACGCTCCCACCAGCAGGGGGCGACACAGACTGTGTTTGTATCCACTGATACTTTCTACTATTTGCAATCTTGCACTCAAAGAAAGGTGTTTAGATTTTACTGTGCCACACAGACTCGGATTAAGATGTTCGGAGGCCAGGAGCCATCAGGCAGCTGATTAGGAGATATTCTGAAAAGTAACACACGTCTAATCACTCGCTTCAAAAACTGAACACGCTGTCACACAAATTAGCCTCATATCTGTGTGGCTGTGGACTCGGGCAGTGCGAGGCTCTGTTTGGAGGCAGAAATAATAACAGAAACCAACTGGAGATGTGTTTTTAATCAGAAAGTCCACCAAGAAGCAGAAGCTGGCTGGTAATTACTGGTTTCACTTAGCAAATACTTACTACGGGGGTCTGATTCCGCAACCTCTCTTTGGCCTCTTCCTCCTCCTGCATCTTCTTTCTGTTCACACACAAACACAGTTTATAGATCATGAAAAGACGATGTAGCGTCATCCTGTCATTCGTGCACACGTGAACCTTCTGACCAAAAATGATTGTGTTCATTGTTTGTTTGATGATTGCTGTGCCGTCGCTCCTCACCTGTGCTCCTCGATCTGCTGCTCCCTCTCGCGGTACCTCTTCTCTCGGTTCTCCTGCTCTTTCCTCTCCAGCTCCATTCGCTCCTCCTCGAAGCGCTGCCGCTCCTCTGCCAACTTCTTCTTCTCCTCCTCCTTCCTCATCTCCTCTTCACGCTGGAGACCGGACACACACAAATGACCTCTTTCAGAGTTGTAATAAATCTCTCGATCAGTTAATTAATGAAGCCAGATCTGGTTCTGGGCGTTTATCTGAGTGTCTGAAACAGTGAAGGGCAAATCTGGCAAACATCCCGCGGCTCGGTGACGCTCGCTGTCATTTCGTGTTTAACTTGAATGAGACAATAGCGACACAGCCGGAGGATGCAGCGACATCTGACTTCGTTTCTCACGTCTACCCAAATATATCTGTGATTCACATTATACTAAATAACTGTCACATATAAGGACACAGTTTATTAAATACAGTGTGAGATAAAGTTTCGTTTTACAGGTATTCTCAGCACCTTTGAGAGTATTTCAGCAAAACATATATGCGCTTATCTTTTAGCTTAGTAGCCTGGCTTAGCTTGAATCAGCTTGCAAACTGACACCTTCGGTCTTGATTCACAACCAGGGGTAGAAAAACCCCAGAAGCTATGTGTAAAATAACTACAACAATTACATTTAATTAAAGAACTAAACATGTTTGATCAGAAAAGTTGGCAAAAGTAATGAATACGTAAGAAAACTATTGAAATCGCTATATACTATATATAATATAAGTGCTTATATACCTGCTAGCTTAGCAGGTTAGCTTAGCTTTAATCAGCTGGCAAGTAAAATAACCGTCAAGCAACAGAAAAAAATGGTTGAAACAAATATATAACTAAACAAATACAGTTGTTAGCTAAAAAAAAAAAAATCACCAAATGTAAATGTGATTCGCATTATATTGAAATTATGGTTGTTAAATGCTACATAAAATACCATGTCTGGATAATGAATATAAAGGTTAGCCTAGCAGGTTAGCTAACTCCCCACAGGGGTACAAGTAAATGGTAAATGGCCTGTATTTATATAGCGCTTTACTAGTCCCTATGACCCCAAAGCGCTTTACACGTTCAGTCATCTCCCAGTCACACACAGGTGATGGCAGCTACATTGTAGCCACAGCCACCCTGGGGCGCATTGACAGAGGCGAGGCTGCCGGACACTGGCGCCACCGGGCCCTCTGACCACCACCAGTAGGCAACGGGTGAAGTGTCTTGCCCAAGGACACAACGACCGAGACTGTCGGAGCCGGGGCTCGAACCGGCAACCCTCCGATTACAAGGCGAACTCCCAACTCTTGAGCCACAACAGTAAGATTAGCACAAAAAATACAGTCAAATAACTGAACATGAAGGTAAAACCTGACTAAAGAAACAAGCTAAAACAAAAACAAACCGCTGAAATACAGTCGCTAGTTAGCACACATAAAGAGCTGTGAATTAGTTTTCTTGATTTTGAATTATTCACTAACTCAATGAATTAGATATATGGAAAAACAAATACTGTGAGCCAGAAAGAATGACAAAATATTATAAATGCAGTAGCTAGCTAATATATGAGTGAAATGCTGTGAATTTTGCTGAAAGCATAGCTAACAGCTCAATTGCTAGCTAACAATATACTCGAGTTGAAAGAACGTGAAACTTTTTAAAGTCTTAGTCTTTCTGTTTGGGTTTGGGAACTGAAGAAGCATTTGTACATGGAAATAGCTAAGGATATCCGACCTAATGAGGGATTGTTGTGAGCAATGTGCTAAAGTGCCGTGTGCAGATCTCTGAAATGCCACCAGCTTTGACTGCGTGGCAGCGCCCGGTAATAATGAGGACAGTCTGTTTGTGAAATCTGTCAATAAAACTTAGTCTAAGGCCATCAAAGACCTCAAATGGGATGCCAAAGGGTTCTTTACAAGCGTCATCATTGCTATAAATCTGTAGCATCTCAGCACCAATTCAAAGGACGCCTTTTGGCATCTATGAGCTGTCATCAGCTAAAAGAAAACACAGCATCTGACCCCTGGGCTGGAAGCTCTCATCTTATGAGTTGTAATAAATGAGTATTATATCTCCTTTTTTTTTTCCCTTCCCGTCTTTGTTTTTCCACTCACTCCCCCCTCCTCGCCTTCTTTACCTTGGCTTGCTCCCAAAACTCCTGTCTATTGATTTTCTTCATCTCCACCTCTGCGTTGGTCTTCTCGTACACCGTGCCCTGCACCAGGACAGACAGAGGAACGGATCAAAGCTCTCGTCACGAGAGAAACGCTGTTTTTATAAGAGAAAAGTGTGCAAGTCTCTCTTTGTACCACGTCTGCGTGCTCTTCATCTCGGGTCTTCAGACGGCTCAGGACCGGGCTCGCCACCGCTGCCGTCCCATTGGTCAGGCGCTGCCCGATGGCCATGGGGTCGATGTCCTCCAGACTGCTGGCATTGATGATGACCTCCACCCCCTGCAGAGAGACAGAAACACGATGATCAGTCAAGTTTTCATGAAAGCTCTGAGAGTTTGTGGAAACAGTCATTACAATTCATTCATAGCAGTGAGGACGTTCTGAGGAAATGAATCTAAATCAATTTAATGTCCTCTGAAGTGATGGAAACACAGCCGTGTGTGTGTGTGTGTGTGTGTGTGTGTGTGTGTGTGTGTGTGTGTGTGTGTGTG